TGTGTTTTATTATCTTTGCTTTGCTCCTCTAGATAAACTGAATTTGGAAATTCTTCTTTTAGTAAGCTTATTACTTGAAGCTATTCAGAATAAAAGAATGTATTAGTTTTGCTGGCAGTGCTTTAGAGAAAGTACATTTAGTATAAGATTGTTGAAAAAATCTTGCTGTGGCTATTTAATTTACTAATAGATAGATATTCATTGCTTAATGTATACATGAGGCTACTGTACTTATATTATATTTGATAACCAAAATTGAGAGGAAGATATAGGTTTGGAGACTGTGTTGTTTGCAGACATATTCTGTTCAGTGATCGTAAAAGATAGGTAATGCATACACATAGTGTGTAAATAATGAAATTCACCTGTTGTAAGATGACTAAGCTGCTTTTGTTACATTTATGAACCCTCTAAATACCTTGCTCGCTGTTGACAGTGGGACGGCATAGGAGACGGAGACTGCGGCCCAATACCTTGTGCCTAAATTAATTTAGCTTAGGTCTTGTATTCTTACCTTTCCTCTTCTATTTTCGTCTATTCCATTCCTAAGGTGTGAGAGCCGTGCTGAAAGGATGAAAGCCTAGCTTTGTCGGTCATGAACGGCTTCTGGGAGCCATGGGCATGATATTGCCTCGGCTAATTGCCTAGCCCTTGCCCCTTGTGGTCCCCATCCTTGTTGCCCCCCCCCCCCCCCACACACACACACAGAACGACTCCACTCCACATCACCCCATATTCCTCTTGCCCTTGTCCTTCTACTGCCTCTACCTCTGCAAACATTTTGAGTACTCTTTGGCCCAACCAAGTGGGATCTATTCTTTGTGATTACCCCCACAGCCCCTTATTCTGAGAACATCCTTCTCTTTCAACAATGACTCCAAAAACAAGTAGGCAAGTTTACCTTTTCCAGCCACTCTGATCGTTCACGTCTTGTCACAGTTACTTATGAATCCCAAGGTTGTGTACTATCTACCTTAACTGATCTCCCTGCTCTACTTCATTTACTTCCCTCGTTTCCTCTTTTACTACCATACTTTCCTATGACATGACATTCTAATCTTTGACATCTAACAACCCCCCCTCTCCCTGGATTATTCTCCTACTTTTCCGACAGCCATCTCTGTTTTCCTTGAACATTGTTCCTATACCTTCCCCAGTGAGATACACTGTAATTCACTCAATTGCCCTACTACCTTAACCCCTTTCTACTAACCTCTGCTCTAGTTCATCTACACCCCTCTTTTTCCCTTTCACTACCCTATCCTATAAAGCGCTCTAATATTTGATATCTAACACATTTTATTCTAATCTTTAATGCCTCCTTACCCTTTCTAACACAATACTTTACCATACTGCTGTATGACCATTTATGTCTAGCACATTTATTTGTTTCAAACATTAAACATTTAACATTACACACATGAAAAGCAGAAATAGGCCTTAGGATTTTAGTATACCCATGAGCACTAATCATTTAATTATGTGGCTAGATAAACAAACAATATAGTTGCTCACCTAAGTAAATGCATTCCACAGCTGTATTAGTTTGTTCATAAGTTACTTTATAATATATTGACCCTTATTTCTTGAAGTATATAAATCTATACATGATGGATATTACAATAAAGTTTAAAATTTGATGCAGTAAAAGATTGCAATGGGCCCCAAACTCAAACAAATGAACCCTATCATAAATTGCCACAAAGATTGCCTTCTGAACATACAACTTTCCCATTCTAACTGGACAGTCTAGCAATTGCCATTTTCCTTAGCTAGTGTATACTATAGCCTTGCAACTTTTAAATGTTACAATATTTAAATGCTTATTATAGGCATATGTGAATGCACTCATTTTTACAAAAGTAGTTAATTACAATTTAAAATATCACTCAAAGAAAAGCATGTATTGATCTGTGATTCAGCCTCTGATTCATTAAAGTGGTTGTTGACAAGGATGTCTTAGTTTGATTTTTTTTTTTTTACATAAAGCTATATGAAATACATCACGCTTTGATGTGAAAATACAAAGTTCATCCCAAGACAGTCTGGTGATGGGCAAAGTTCTTGTGCTTGACCATGTAAACGTTCAGATACGACTGCTAAACAAGTATACAAATATGCCCATTGTTCAGCAAAATTGACAGGCAAATTGATAGTGCACATGCTTACTTGCCAAGTGAAATAACCAGATAATTTTGTTTGCCTGGTAGTTTGACAGTTTGCTGTTGGATATGGATGGGTGATCCTGCCTGGTACCAACACCTATGTGTAAGAGAAATAGGCAAGGTCTGCTGGACTTATGTAGATGGCCTTATTAATAATCATAGCCATATATTCAGTGGTTAAGCTTCTCTATTTTTCAGTAAACTTCTGGTTGTTTATCTTACCTTAAAGGACAGTGTCACTTAGAACAAGAAGGGAAATAGACTGAGTCCTGTCCACACCCTTGGACAGTATCTGATAGGCACAAATCTTGTCATCAAAAACTTTTTTAACAAGTTTGATGGACAAATCAGAAGACTGGATATGGCTGTAGTTGAGGGAATAATAGATACCAGCAAGGTGTGCCTTACACATGTATTTGCTTCGTAACCCAATGTGTTCACTAATATTTTGTGAAATGTCTCAGCACATAGATTGCTCTGACAGTGCTTAGCAACAAATGAGTCAATTAGTACGCCTTGTGACCTCGCCCGATTTCACCTTTCCTTGAGTTTGCAATTTTTTTTTTACTGATGCTATTAATATTAATACTTTTACTTTTATTTTAGAAATCATAATTATTATAGTGTTACTGACCTTACTAACAACAACATTGGATATCAGAAAATATTTTTTGAAAATCAAGGAAAAGGGTAAGCAAGTGAGACAGGTAGTACTTGTAATTGGCTCATTTGTGACTTCTTACTTATGAAGCCATCTGTGTAAAGATAATTACAAAATCAAACACACAGTGGGCATGACATGTATGTACATGCCATCCCTGGTGGCACTGTGTTAAGGCCTACCCAGATGACCAGGTGTGTCCGTTGAGCAGCGCAGTTAACAGACAAATTCTGCCAGGCTTGCCTGTGAATGTTGTCCACAAAGTTGAGTACTTGAATAGGTAGGCATGTCCACTTGAGTGTAAATGAGGATAAGGCATGTTGGTGATATGTAAAGTATTGTACGATAAGTATGGCACTTAACCCTCTTCAATCCCTTGCTCATAATTGTCACGGGAGGGGGGTTCCATAAGGAGGATCACCACAACCTTAGACCTCAACCCTTGCCTCAACTAATTTAGCATGTTTTCTTTTCCCCCTTTCCTTTTCTTTTCTTTTTCCCCCTTTTTCTGTCATTATCCTAAAGTGTAAGAGCCATTTTAAAAGGCTGGAAGGCTGGCTTTGTGTCAGTCCTGAACAGCTTTTATTTTCTGTGTGCTCTTTTCAATATCATACTAATCTACAGCACCCTACAACTTTTGACATGAAACACATTTTGTCCTAATCATTAACCCATTTTTAACCTTTTTACATAATAATTTATGATAGTGCTGTATGACCTGGCACATTTATTTGTCTTGACAAATAAATAAATGGTCCCTAGCAAATTTAGAATATACCTGGAATATATTATATAGCATGATAATTGCTTTTTATAAAGAAAGAAAGGGAAAAAATATGGAGCAATGATTGGCTCATTGGAAGTGAAGGTTTACCAATTAACAGGGGTTAAAAACTTGGTTAGTGGCCATTAATGCAGGGCTGATGACAATTTCCCTTTTGCACTGCTCGGTAGTTTGTGGATAATATTAGGCACCTAAAAGCTTATATTTTGATATCTATGTTACATAGATTAGCTTGCAAAATGACTGAATGGCATTTGTACTTAAAACAGCTGAAAGTCAATAGTTATACTGGTTTAGAGATGATATTTATATATGGAATTTTTCATAAAACTAAAAACTCAATCAGATACATCTTGGTTGACCAACTATGTAAAACCTGTTCATAATGATTTAAAAGCAACAGAATGAATTTCGATATAAAAATGCAATTCAAGAGAGGATATTGAAAGAACTAATAACTTTATATTAGATTTTAGTTTTTCTTCTTATTTACATCTTTTCATAAAATATAACAATTAGGTAATAAAAGCTACAAAATAGACAAAAAATGCAAGATTAAAATGGCAGACATGTTTTCTATATTTCTAGTAATTTGCCTTCAAGTGTTTAACCTCTTGGCGTAATCTCTCGTTTTCCTGAAGCAAGTCTTCATTTAAAGAATACTGCCGATGAAGCTGTTCCATTATTTCCTGCAAAATAAATGTCAAATATTATATAAACTACCTAATGTCTGTAACTTTTTTATTCACTATTTTTTAACTTTTACTTTTGCTATTCCCCACAATTTTCTGTGAGTATTTGGAAATTGTTAGATAATGTTTACACAACTTTCATTTGATTCCACAATCAAAGTTACATAAAACTAATATATGTCGTACCTGCTGTTTCAAAAATTGTTTCATGACCACACACTGCAGGTGCATTAAACGGCGATTAATGTCGTCTTGATATTCTTCAAGAACTTCTGCCATGCAGTTACGTATCAAATCAACCTGCAGCACATGAGTTCCATCGCTACCAGGTTTAGGTACATCTGCTGGATTAACAAGACAACAAAAACATCAATAGTATTTCTATGTTAACATTTTTCTCCAGTCAAAATTAATTTTTAATGGCAATACCAGTACACAAGCACATGCACACACAAATATTGTAGGCTAGTTAAAATTAGCTCAAGGTAGTTTTTATCAACACCAAAATTTATAACTACTGTTTTTATTACACATTATTCAGAAAAAAAACAAAAAAACTGTAGTTCGTACCTGATAGCTCTTGCTTAGGAGTGCCACTAACTTGAATCTGATCCACTGTACCATCAGCAGGAGAAAAGAGATCACTAGTATGGACTGGTCGTAAAAAGGCTCGCTTGTGAGGTGGCGATGATCTTGTG